ACCCTCGGCGATAAATACTAAAAAAGATAGTAATAACAGATGGACAACGGTGAAACATGCCCACGTTGTTGTATTTCGGCCTCCTCTTTTTTGCAAAACTCCCAGGGCTGTGTGAAATGGGATCGCGGGTCACTCGGACCCGCTCAATCCGGGGTGTGTACGCGACGCGAGGACAATGGCTGGGGTTAGATGCCGGGGTTGTGAGTTCGAGCCTCGCCCGGTGCGGTGGTTTTACACCCTCGCCGATAAATACTAATAAAGGTAGTAAGAATAGATGGACAACGGTGAAACACGCGCACGTTGTTGTATTTCGGCCTCCTCTTTTTTGCAAAACTCCCAGGGCTGTGTGAAATGGGATCGCGGGTCACTCGGACCCGCTCAATTCGGGGTGTGTACGCGACGCGAGGACAATGGCTGGGGTTAGATGCCGGGGTTGTGAGTTCGAGCCTCGCCCGGTGCGGTGGTTTTTTACACCCTCGCCGATAAATACTAATAAAGGTAGTAATAATAGATGGACAACGGTGAAACACGCGCACGTTGTTGTATTTCGGCCTCCTCTTTTTTGCAAAACTCTTGAGGGCTGTGTGAAATGGGATCGCGGGTCACTCGGACCCGCTCAATTCGGGGTGTGTACGCGACGCGAGGACAATGGCTGGGGTTAGATGCCGGGGTTGTGAGTTCGAGCCTCGCCCGGTGCGGTGGTTTTTACACCCTCGCGATAAATACTAAAAAAGGTAGTAATAATAGATGGACAACGGTGAAACACGCGCACGTTGTTGTATTTCGGCCTCCTCTTTTTGCAAAACTCCCAGGGCTGTGTGAAATGGGATCGCGGGTCACTCGGACCCGCTCAATCCGGGGTGTGTACGCGACGCGAGGACAATGGCTGGGGTTAGATCCCGGGGTTGTGAGTTCGAGTCTCGCCCGGGCGGTGGTTTTTTTTACACCCTCGGCGATAAACACTAAAAAGATAGTAATAACAGATGGACAACGGTGAAACATGCCCACGTTGTTGTATTTCGGCCTCCTCTTTTTGCAAAACTCCCAGGGCTGTGTGAAATGGGATCGCGGGTCACTCGGACCCGCTCAATCCGGGTGTGTACGCGACGCGAGGACAATGGCTGGGGTTAGATGCCGGGGTTGTGAGTTCGAGCCTCGCCCGGTGCGGTGGTTTTTACACCCTCGGCGATAAATACTAAAAAAGATAGTAATAACAGATGGACAACGGTGAAACATGCCCACGTTGTTGTATTTCGGCCTCCTCTTTTTGCAAAACTCCAGGGCTGTGTGAAATGGGATCGCGGGTCACTCGGACCCGCTCAATCCGGGGTGTGTACGCGACGCGAGGACAATGGCTGGGGTTAGATGCCGGGGTTGTGAGTTCGAGCCTCGCCCGGTGCGGTGGTTTTTACACCCTCGCCGATAAATACTAATAAAGGTAGTAAAAATAGATGGACAACGGTGAAACACGCGCACGTTGTTGTATTTCGGCCTCCTCTTTTTTGCAAAACTCCCAGGGCTGTGTGAAATGGGATCGCGGGTCACTCGGACCCGCTCAATTCGGGGTGTGTACGCGACGCGAGGACAATGGCTGGGGTTAGATGCCGGGGTTGTGAGTTCGAGCCTCGCCCGGTGCGGTGGTTTTTACACCCTCGCCGATAAATACTAATAAAGGTAGTAAGAATAGATGGACAACGGTGAAACACGCGCACGTTGTTGTATTTCGGCCTCCTCTTTTTGCAAAACTCTTGAGGGCTGTGTGAAATGGGATCGGGTCACTCGGACCCGCTCGACCTGGGGTGTGTACGCGACGCGAGGACAACGGCTGGGGTTAGATGCCGGGGTTGTGAGTTCGAGCCTCGCCCGTTGCGGTGGTTTTTACACCCACGCAGATAAATACTAATAAAGGTAGTAAAAATAGATGGACAACGGTGAAACACGCGCACGTTGTTGTATTTCGGCCTCCTCTTTTTTGCAAAACTCCCAGGGCTGTGTGAAATGGGATCGCGGGTCACTCGGACCCGCTCAATCCGGGGTGTGTACGCGACGCGAGGACAATGGCTGGGGTTAGATCCCGGGGTTGTGAGTTCGAGTCTCGCCCGGGCGGTGGTTTTTGCACTCGGCGATAAACACTAAAAAAGATAGTAATAACAGATGGACAACGGTGAAACATGCCCACGTTGTTGTATTTCGGCCTCCTCTTTTTTGCAAAACTCCCAGGGCTGTGTGAAATGGGATCGCGGGTCACTCGGACCCGCTCAATCCGGGGTGTGTACGCGACGCGAGGACAATGGCTGGGGTTAGATGCCGGGGTTGTGAGTTCGAGCCTCGCCCGGTGCGGTGGTTTTTACACCCTCGGCGATAAATACTAAAAAGATAGTAATAACAGATGGACAACGGTGAAACATGCCCACGTTGTTGTATTTCGGCCTCCTCTTTTTGCAAAACTCCCAGGGCTGTGTGAAATGGGATCGCGGGTCACTCGGACCCGCTCAATCCGGGGTGTGTACGCGACGCGAGGACAATGGCTGGGGTTAGATGCCGGGGTTGTGAGTTCGAGCCTCGCCCGGTGCGGTGTTTTTACACCCTCGCCGATAAATACTAATAAAGGTAGTAAAAATAGATGGACAACGGTGAAACACGCGCACGTTGTTGTATTTCGGCCTCCTCTTTTTGCAAAACTCCAGGGCTGTGTGAAATGGGATCGCGGGTCACTCGGACCCGCTCAATTCGGGGTGTGTACGCGACGCGAGGACAATGGCTGGGGTTAGATGCCGGGGTCGTGAGTTCGAGCCTCGCCCGGTGCGGTGGTTTTTACACCCTCGGCGATAAATACTAAAAAGATAGTAATAACAGATGGACAACGGTGAAACATGCCCACGTTGTTGTATTTCGGCCTCCTCTTTTTTGCAAAACTCCCAGGGCTGTGTGAAATGGGATCGCGGGTCACTCGGACCCGCTCAATCCGGGGTGTGTACGCGACGCGAGGACAATGGCTGGGGTTAGATGCCGGGGTTGTGAGTTCGAGCCTCGCCCGGTGCGGTGGTTTTTTACACCCTCGCCGATAAATACTAATAAAGGTAGTAATAACAGATGGACAACGGTGAAACATGCGCACGTTGTTGTATTTCGGCCTCCTCTTTTTGCAAAACTCCAGGGCTGTGTGAAATGGGATCGCGGGTCACTCGGACCCGCTCAATTCGGGGTGTGTACGCGACGCGAGGACAATGGCTGGGGTTAGATGCCGGGGTTGTGAGTTCGAGCCTCGCCCGGTGCGGTGGTTTTTTACACCCTCGGCGATAAATACTAAAAAAGATAGTAATAACAGATGGACAACGGTGAAACACGCGCACGTTGTTGTATTTCGGCCTCCTCTTTTTTGCAAAACTCCCAGGGCTGTGTGAAATGGGATCGCGGGTCACTCGGACCCGCTCAATCCGGGGTGTGTACGCGACGCGAGGACAATGGCTGGGGTTAGATGCCGGGGTTGTGAGTTCGAGCCTCGCCCGGTGCGGTGGTTTTTTACACCCTCGGCGATAAATACTAAAAAAGATAGTAATAACAGATGGACAACGGTGAAACATGCCCACGTTGTTGTATTTCGGCCTCCTCCTTTTTGCAAAACTCCAGGGCTGTGTGAAATGGGATCGCGGGTCACTCGGACCCGCTCAACCTGGGGGTGTGTACGCGACGCGAGGACAATGGCTGGGGTTAGATGCCGGGGTTGTGAGTTCGAGCCTCGCCCGGGCGGTGGTTTTTACACCCTCCCGATAAATACTAATAAAGATAAAAATAATAGATGGACAACGGTGAAACACGCGCACGTTGTTGTATTTCGGCCTCCTCTTTTTGCAAAACTCTTGAGGGCTGTGTGAAATGGGATCGAGGGTCACTCGGACCCGCTCAACTCGGGGTGTGTACGCGATGCGAGGACAATGGTGGAGCAGAGGACTGAATTGTTACACGCTGTAATTCTTAGGCAGTGTTTCAAATCTGGCTTGAACGATGCCTGTTCCTTTTTGCTGCTGTACCATTTGACTTGTAAAAATCCTGGCAAATATGGTTAGAATGCGCAAAACAGCATTCATCCCTGACCCGTAATCGAACCCGGGGCACTAGACCACCAGGGAGAGACGACTGCCAACTGACCCTCTGGGATCCTATGCACATTTGTTGACTTTAAGTTGCTTTGAAGAAAGACAGGGGCCAGTGTTGCAATTACGTTTCACAGATTGGATATACTGAGATCTACTCTGCTTGGTCAGGGCTTGTCAGGGGATGTAGCTCAGTGGTAGAGCGCATGCTTCGCATGTATGATGTCCTGGGTTCAATCCCCAGCTTCTCCATGCTGTTTTGTCAAAGTTTCATAAGCTCAAAACCTCCTTTCTGGAATGTCAAGATCATGAATGTTCGCTGTAAACTACGTGGCCAAGTCTTAAGTTTTTTGTCTTGTAAAATGCAGTTCCCAGGTTATGTATGTGCTTTTATGCAGTCAAATTGACATGTTGAACTGAATTTGTTCTGTTTACTGGATTTCTTGACTGGCTGTGATGCTTCTAGAAATGCACGGTTAGTTTGTTGGAATGCACCTTCGAAAACTCAGATGGCGGAGTGAAGGACTGAATTGTTACACGCTGTAATTCTTAGGCTGTGAATGTTCGCTGTAAACTACGTGGCCAAGTCTTAAGTTTTTGTCTTGTAAAATGCAGTTCCCAGGTTATGTATGTGCTTTTATGCAGTCAAATTGACATGTTGAACTGAATTTGTTCTCTTTACTGGATTTCTTGACTGGCTGTGATGCTTCTAGAAATGCACGGTTAGTTTGTTGGAATGCACCTTCGAAAACTCAGATGGCGGAGTGAAGGACTGAATTGTTACACGCTGTAATTCTTAGGCAGTGTTTCAAATCTGGCTTGAACGATGCCTGTTCCTTTTTGCTGCTGTACCATTTGACTTGTAAAAATCCTGGCAAATAATGTTAGAATGTGCAAATCAGCATTCTTCCCTGCCCGGAATCGAACCCGGGCGCGGCGGTGGAGCGCCGAATACTAGCCACTAGACCACCAGGAGCGACGACTGCCAACAGACCCTCTGGGATGGATGCACATTTGTTGACTTTGGGCCAACCCGAATACTCCCACTTACCCCTTCCCCTTAGTTTACCCCTACCCTTGGCCCTCGAAACCGAGTGGTAAGGGCTACGTTCCCCTAGGAATTGGGACACCACTCGGTTTTGGCTACGTCATCATACATCGTCGCTAGCTGACTGCTACGTCACCAGAGGCGACACAAATGTTGATCTCAAACTTCGGAGATGCAGTCTGGAAAAGTGTGTATGTTGTCGATTGCGTGGATTTTAGTTATGTTTTTTGCGATTGTCTGCAACAAATCGCAAAAATCAACGAGAAGAGGTCTACGACGCCTACAAATGCTGGTAGTTTAACTTATGGTATGTATCGATTGGTTGCAAACAACATTGTCGTATTGTATTTAAAGTTCACGGAACTAACCAACAAGGTAGCAAACATTTTTCCCAACTCAGCCATTAATGGTGTAAAATTGTTTTATTTTCCAGACTGGTGGTCCAACAAGATACTGTGCCATAAACCCCAACACGTCTATACTGCGCATATGGTTCGATGTATGTAGTAGTTATATGTTTGGTGGCGGTGCATATGGATGCAGATGTTCTTCTGTGTACTATTGTTTTTAATGTTTTTGTAAAGCACACGTGCTATATAAATAAACCTGCTTGCTTACTACTGAAGGCTGTTTTCAATAAATAATTTCATCCACATTGCATTGTGTTTTGTATATCTGTTTCAGTGATCACTGTTTTGAATGTCATTGATCGATGTTCAGAAACCCTTAATCAAAAACAATGTGCTAAGTGCAACAACAAACAAACTACAGTTTATCAAACATTTTTTTTAGATGTCCAATAACCTCTATGTCTTGGCCTCATCAGTGTCCTGTATCATATCCAAATTATGTTGTACACCTTCATAATCTACAGTCTATGGTTGTACAGCATGAAACTTCGGTTCATTTTCTGCCCGAAAGCGAATTATTTGCCGGGTTTCCTCCGGCGTCCTGTGTGATTCGGGACGGTATGTAAAGCACTTTTATCGCTATTCCAAAAGCAACATGTTATGCACTGATATGAATTATCTGCTAAAAGAGTCAACTGTAGACAAACATGCATTGAGTAAAGGTAGTCAGAGAAATACGGGACAAATTAGCAATGTATCTTTGGCGTTGAAAACTGGCAAAAAGTCGCGATTTAAAAAAAAAAAACTTCAATTATCAAAATGGTTAAAAATATATATATATATACAGGACTGCGTAGGTCACAAAACAATTGTGTC